CGCTGCACCAATTTCTTCCAAACTTGGCACAGTTGTTGGCCTTCGCATAACATACCAAATGGCCGAAAATTTTTAAAATCGCTCAATAACCACGCCTACTTCCCATATAACGGTAATTTTCAGAAATACGAAAACTGCGATATTTTAGTAACTACTGGAGATTATTCACTCAAAATTGATATTTATAATAAGTTTTAGACGAAAAATAAGAATATTACAAAATTTTGGCAAATGGGCGTAGCCACGCCCACTTATGGTTACATGTGTATATCTTGGTAACCGCTACACCAATTTCTTCCAAACTTGGCACAGTTGTTGGTCCTGGTACAACATACCAAATGGCCGAAAATTTCTAAAATCGGACAATAACCACGCCCACATCCCATATAACGGTAATTTCGAGAAATACAAAATCTTCGATAAAGCAGTAAATATTGAAGCTAATTTATTCAAAATTGATGGTTGCAACAATTCTTTACCAAGAAATACGTTTATGACAAAATTTTGGAAAATGGGCGTAGCACCGCCCACTTGTGATATGTATCTCGCTAGCCGTTCTAGCAATTTGTACCAAGCTCGGTATGGTTATTGTGCTTGCAACATAAAAGCAACCCGTTGAAAATTGTTGAAATCGGACTAAAATTGAGGCCGCTTTTCATATAACGGTAAATTTCAAAAATGCTTGAAATTTCAATATTTCGAAATTTAAGGACGCTAATTTACTTAAAATGTATACACCCCGGCTTATCATGTAGCGGTGGCTTTCGGAAAGGTGGAAAACATATATTTAATACTTGCGCCGGGTATTTAATGTTCGGCTCCGCCCGAACTTAGACTTTCTTACTTGTTATTTTAGAGTTTGTTTTGATCCGACACAAGCACGCGCCTGCCTCCGCAAGCATCCCCTCTGCCCAGTGCTTATTATATTTCTGTTCCTCTTTCCTTTTTCGTTCTTATTTTTTCATTTTGCTTTGAACTATGGTAAATTTGCTCAAAGTGTGGTGGCACGGAAAAATTTTTGGTATGGTGGCAGCCGACACTTCTCTACCGACACCGTCGGTCGAGTGGTGCACTCGTCGACGTGTGGTATATTTGGCCGACTGCACCCCAAAATTTCTGGCAGAAATTAGTTCACAGCGAAAATGCGCCTTCCCATTCATAGACGTTCTCTGCTAATATGTATATCTTCATTGTCATGACAGTATTGTCCGGTGTAAACCCTAAATTAGGTGTACCGTTAATTTCTTTATGACACATTGATCGAAACTACATCAAATTAGTATCCGACCATCTTCCAGGTGCCATCTTCAAATAATCGAAAACGGTTCACAGGGTCCAAAGTATCCCGTAACATACAAAAAAAATTAAAAAAAAATATTCCAATGAATTGATAAGCTTTCTGCTTTTTTACAAGTCGGTTAAAAAGCAAAAATTACCGATTTTGTTTTGTTGTTTTTAATTACTCAGTAATAGAGCTTTTGCACGATATGTATTTGCATATGGAAATGCTACTTTTTTGTATTCACTGGGTTGTACCATATATTAGAACGTATCAGAAAAGTAGGATATAATAAATACGCCACAAGAAAATTTCGCAATCCCTTTTTTGAAGGCACCGTTCGCTCGATTTGAATGAAACATACACCGATTAAAAGGATATAACTTCCTCTAATCCAAAAATGTTAATCCCGAAAATATAGGGGCGTGGCGTCTGACATATAGACTAAAATGTGAAAACCAATATATATCTAAAACGAATTATGCTGGGGAACTGAAACTTAGCACAGATGCATAGATTGTATATACCCTACTTACGGTGAAAAATGGTAGGTACTGGGAAAGTGGGCGTGGCACCTCCTATACAAACTGAATTTCTCTTCGGTCATCTCGGTCATCGCTGTAACCGCCTCTGCTAACGTCATGAAATTTGACACAGCATTGAATGTTGTCAATACCGTACTTACGGCGAAAAGTGATAGATTTTGGAAAAGGGGCGTGGCACCGCCTATACAAATTGCAATTCTCATATCGCTTATCTTTGGAACCCCTTATGCTGACGTCCTGAAATTTGACACAACTATTTATGATATCAATAACGTACTTATGGCGAAAAGTGGTAGATAATAGGAAAGGGGGCGTGGCACCGCCCATACAAACTGAAATTCTCATATCATTTATCTCTGGAACTGCCTATGCTAACGTCCTGAAATTTGACACAGCAACATATATTGTCAATATCGTACTTACGGCGAAAAATTGTAGATTTTGGAAATGGGGGGGTGGCACCGCCCATACAGACTGAAATTCTCATATCGCTTACCTCTGCAACCGCTTATGCTGACGTCCTGAAATGGTACACCGCAATATATGTTGTCAATAGCGTATTTTCGGCGAAGGGTGGTAGATTTTGTCAAGGGGGGCGTGGCACCGCCCATACAAACTGAAATTCTCATATCGGTTATCTCTGCAACCACTTCATTTATACACATATAAAATCGCAAGAATCATTCAATTGGGAACTATTTTCACCCAGATTTTAAAATCGCATTCAATGATTGTTGTTTTCTGCAAAAGTTTTTCGAAGGATCTGTGTGTTTGTCCTACGATAGGTGGCGCAGGGACTAAGAGCTCTCCTACAAAATCATATTTATGATCAGATTTTTTTCCCCTTTTAAAACACATATTAGTAACATAAAGTTTGGTGTAACTTGGTAGCCCAATCGTGTGATGAAAAAATATTGGGCCTTAGTCCAGTCTTGACAAAAACCCGTGTGAAACCGCCGTTAGAGAAGGAAATATTGGCTGCATTTCTTTATTCATTCTGAACGTTTGGAATAAATTTTTTTGTTTATTCTTTAGAACGTTCCTGATGATATGTTGACGTATATTTCAAACGCATTCTGTTTATTCCGGCTGTGAAATGCGATTATCCGGAACGTATAAAGAAACGAAGCCATTATCTTTTGTTGTAAACCTTCAAGATACTTTCTCAACCGTTAACGATTCTGATGAAAAAAGAAAGTTTATGTAGATGTGGGCAATTTAGTTTTTAACATCCAAGTCTGAGAGCCTCTGAGACAATATAATCGAAAAACTTATTTACAGTCTGAATTGGTATATGTTTGACATATTAGTCAGTGATGAACATCTCATGTATACATACAAATACATATGGATATTTTTTATAAACGAAAATCGAGGTTCCTTTTTCGGTATAATTTCAAAAGCTACTAAAGTGACTTAGAGGAGACTTGGTAGAATTAGCATTAATCAATCCGATTTTCCTGTAAATTCGCTATAAATTATGCTGGTGGACTTCAAAATAGTAATTCGCATTAAGGAGTTAGTATTGGTGACAGGTAAAATTCAAAAGTGTGTGAAAAAAATGTCGAATTTCGACAACTAAGCGATACCAGTTTACATACATACATATGCAAATACATACATATCTTGTAACAGCGCAGCTAGAAAAATTGCCAGAAATCTGTTAGATATCAGTCAGACTCGTCGGCAAAAAAGTCAGAAATCTATGATTTTGGCCAATATCGGTCCGCCGATTCTGACGGATATATAACAGATGTCTGACCAAATAATCGTGGAAAATAAGAATTATCAGACGTGTATGCCCGAAATCGGACATAATTCGCTCAGACATATCGGATAAGGGAATAAATAAAATTCTCCTGACATTTCGCCCAGAAAAATCTGTACGAAACCTGTAAGACTTGTCTAAATAGTCAACTTTTTATTCCGACTTGTCTGATATCAGAAATTGTCTGGTAAATGTGCTAGCAGGGAGGGCTCTAATAAACAAAACAAGGTAACGATTTGTATTTGTGAGGCTCTTTTAAAAATTAAAATCTGCATGCGGCTCTTATTAGCTTCACGCTAAACCTTCTTGGCTGCCCTAGCATGCATGCGAATCAGTTTTTTTTTTTTAAGTTTTTAAAATAAAACACTATGCTGCACAAACCAGAGATCTTCATTTATTAAAAAGTTTTAGTCAAATTAAAGCATTGTTCAAAATATTTTATTTTTTTTACGTATCTTGCCAGTGTAAATGAAATTCTCGTTCAAATACATTTCGATCGTAGAGTTGAACCGCACTGATGCGCGCTGATATATCCAAACGTAATTCATTTATTGCCAAATGGAAATTTTGCCTTGCGGTTCGTTGCTTTTCCACTGGCAGATGTACAAGCGGTTTACGAAACACACTCAGAATTTTTTTCAAATGATACTCCACACTAGCGCAACGACCTATGCAGACCCACAGGTTTTCGGGGTTATGGATGTTTCCCGGAAATCGTTTGCGAAAATCAAAAGGAGCTTGACCAACAGTCAACAGAGCTTTGACTTCAGCTATAATGTTATTGTGAGTACGAGTATCGGTAAGGCTAAGCGTCCGGTACTCGTATTTGTCGCAGAAAGACATTAAATCACCCACGCAGCACCACGGCTGTGTTGCCAACTCAGTATGCTTACTGCCCCAATTTACATATTTCCCGTTGGTAGAAGTTGAAGGGCTGGAACGATTTTGGAAACTTGTTCTCAAATCATTAAAGCTTTCTTCATTGCTTGCAGAGGATGCAGATAAAAGGTTATGCGATTCATCTTCGCTAAACGTCTGCGTCTCGTTAAGCTTTTCAAATGTATCATCTTTTTTCGATTCGGGTGGCTCATTTATTGTTACACTTTTTGCTGTCGTTGGTAACGGCGGCTTAAGTTGATTATCAAATTTTGATTCAGGTGTGTCATTTATTGATACCCTTTTTGTTGTTACTTCCTTTTCAATTTCTGACCCTTCTCTTCTGTTCTCACGCACTTGTTTCAAAAAGCGACGCACTCTCCAAGACATAATAACAATTATTCAATTTTATATGTTTACATATAATTTATATTTAAAGTGGCCTACGAAAGGAATTCGAATACTTTTTTAATGTATGTAACTGTTTTGTTGTTGTTATTTTTGCTGTTAATATTTAATTTGCACCGTTTATGCAATGATCACCTTGACTGTTTCCTCATCGACAACAATAATGTATTGGGCGTTTTCGCTGTGCATTTGCGCCACGACACTTCTTTCTACCTAATACTCTTTTGCTTCGGCTTATCTTGTTTTGTCCTGTCGAATTTATCGGTTGATCAAATTAGCTCAGTTGTACTATGAAGTATTTCGGGAATCGCGACACTCAGAAAAATGGGAAAGAAATGGGAAGAGTAGGCATAGGTCATTTTAGATGAAAAAGTTCCTAAACTCCCATATAAAAACTTACTATTATTTTTGTTAACACTTAATGAAACAACTTAAACTACAGCTGTAATTGGTCAAAAATATTGAATTGCAAGTGCATGATATTAGTGATTAAAAAATTGGTTTCGACTCACGCTTCACATCAATCCAGTGCAGCAATACTTAGTCTATAGTTTCCAACATTTAAAACTTTCTCCACAGCATCGAATTTTTTCGCTCCGTGTGCATATTTACAAACATACATATGTATGTACATATGTATGTATGTATTATTTGCATACATTCGTTTGTGCATACCTGATTCTTGGCCACTTAAACTGAATGTTGTATTGTCTGCTTTATATTTAGCAATGCAGACGAAATAAGTGTGAAAGTAAAAATATCACTGCATGGCGTGCAAAAATAGTGGAAATCAAAAAGCTGAGATTTGCGTTTTCAAAGTTGTTTCTTTATTTATTGTATAAGTATTAAAATATGCACTTTGTTTTACATAGATATACATATATTATATATAAAACATAATAATATTAAAAGCTTTGTTTGTGTGTATGAATGTACATATATACTTCAGCGTGTCAGTTATTTACCAAAGTAATTCAAGAACTAAAAAACTAGTTCCTATTATTTAAAACAAAAACCTTGTTAAATTTTATTAGCTTTGTTTGAAGATTGTAGGAATTTTCATTTTTTTTTTAACTAATTGCAGCATGTTTTAAAAAAACAACTAGATACAACAGCCGGGAGTATACTGTAGTTACATACAAACATACATATATACTCCTATAAGAGAAACCTCCGTTTCTTGGTTATAGGCCCAAGCCAGAATAATGATGCAAAAGTTGAAAATTGGCATAGAAAATCAGCGCTATTGATCATTGATTTAACCCTTAATAAACTTTGGGCCAGTTTCTTATAGAAATACATAGTTTTTTGTTAGATTGATTTGATCAATAGATAGAAGAAAAATCCCGTATACTTGTTTGGATGTATGTGGTGATGGTATTTCGATATTAAATCCTTGGCTTAGAATACATATATAGCCTATAATCGAAATATTAAATCAATTTGATAAATAACGGACACCCTAATAAACTTGTACATAAATATTTTGTTCATAATAAAATTGTATAGTAATGTAAAGGCAGTGTCTCACGACAGATTTGCACATTTTTTTACGTTGAAATCGGTTAACGTGGTTCAAACTTATGCGGTAACATATGTACATAAAAAAAAAAATAAAAAAAAATAAAAAAAAAGATTCCGACGAATTGATAACCTTCTCCTTTTTGTGAAGTCGGCTAATAAAAAAATTGGGACGACAGTTTTTTTTAAAAAGTCATACGATTGGTACTTCTTTGAATAAATTGTTTTTCGGGATTGGGATAAAGAAAAATATTTGTGCATACACACGAATGGGATACGATTTGCACCAAATTCCTGGCAATGTCCAATCGCGTGACACTGCCTTTACAGTTGATTCGCGCCTCTTCTAAGCGTTTTCTTCAATTCCGTGGCGTAACAAGTAGCTTAAGTAAAAAAAAATGCGTTACCTCAACAGTATGTTATACGTAACCACAGCGAGCGACTGCACCAAGTACAACATAACACAAAAGCTTTATAAAACTTACATTTGCATACATATGGGTGTTTCCATGATGTCGGACGTGATATTCGTACGACTTTAGAGTTAAATAAATCATACGAAAGCGGAAGTCACTTAAACAAAAAAAAATTGCCGTTAAGTAGCTCTTATACCGTCCTTTGGTTGACAAAAAAAAAATTAGATGTGCTTGGAACACTGGTGTCGGGAAAATCGACGAACGGACGTGACAAAAACAAAGGTGGTTTTAGAGTACATGTAAAAATAAGCAGAACTCTGCGAATGCTGTGAGGGTTTCCATTCATAAACATTTTTTAAATAATATCAAATTACGGACCATTACAACCAATTCGTACTTAATCAGAAGCAATCGTTGCTGATTTTGTTTTGAATTAAAATGAGATAACAGACGTGACAGATTTTTTCCCCGTACACATATTTAATTAAATTTGTTTTCAGATCTCTCCATCGTTTGGCGTTTCATAACCTCTTTTCGCGATCAGAATACGAAATTTAAAGATATAAAGTCGTTTGGGCTCATTTACTTGCATTTTCGGTTTACTTGTACATTTTGTGAAAACACCCATATAAGAAACTTGTGTGTACATATACATTCGAACATAGAAATTCTTCCACGCAACCCTAAGACACTTTGCTTAGTTTAAATGGTTACCATTTTGTTCCATTTATGTATATCGTGCAATTTCTTTCTTTCTCATATCTACTAACCCTGCAAACAATTTTATTCTGAAGTATTCTGAATCGTAGAGAAATTTTAATGAATTCGTAAAGATCCCATTCGATTTTTTGCCGAATTTTCTAAAATGAAATAACCCTGCAAACCATTTTTTCAGAGTATTCTGAATCGTAAAGAATTTTTAAAGAATTCGGAAAGATCCCATCCGATTTTTTGCCGAATTTTCTAAAATGAAATAAACTATGCACACTTCCATTCTTTCAAGAAATTTTGAAAGAAAATCGGTAAAGAAATGTAAACAATGCTGCTATGTGAAGAATTTCTTGCAGTTTTTTTTTAGAATTTTCTTTATTTTTCGTACAGAAATTTCTTTGCGAGTTTGTGTCAATCACTTGATATAATTTTCTTTGAAGATTCGTAAAAAAATCGTTACAGAAATCAGATACTCCTAAAAATTTCGTTAAGATTTCGGGAACTTTGGTTTGCAGGGAAGTACTATATGTATATACGTTTATATATGTACATATACATACATACATATGTATATACAATTCAGGAAGTCAGAAATTTGTTAACTTCTAATACGTAATTCCTAAAGCCGAATTTCCACTAGGCATTGTAATGACAAAAAATTCACTTATTTATAGAGTAGCTTAATTACATTGTGTGGTATTGGTTAAGGCATGCCGATTAATCACGATTACATTTTGGATACATACTATTGTTTGTACACACATATGTAGATACATACATGCATGCATGTGCTCATGCAGCATGTACATACATGCACACAATATAACTATGTATTTATGTACATATTTATATTCAAAATTTAAACTATAAAAGCAGTTCACAAAAAAATATGTTAACGTAACTGGTATTTGATGTACATTTTGATTGAAGTCATTACACGGCCCCCTTCCCCTACCAGCAATAATAGGTTAACAGGGCAATTCTGGCAACTATCTTTCGACTCACCACAGTCTTTCAAAAGACAAATATCTTTCGCAAGACAATTGTCAATTCTGGCAACTACCTTGGTAGCCCTTTACTGTCTTTCGCAAGACTAATTGTAAGATCTGCTAACGTAGAGGTCTTAGCGTTATGCTGTCACCTTTTAGAAATAAGTTTTTACAAATTAAAGTAAATTTAAAAAAATAATATATTTCTCTTTTTAAAGCAATAAAAATTAAGAAATAAAAGAAAATGAAATAAAAAAAAATATGTTAAATGGAAATAAAAATATTTTTAAAATTAAATTAAATGAAAGAAAAAAATCTTTTTTAAAAAACTAAAATGTAAAAATTAAATTTAAAAAGAGAAACATTTCATCGGAACATGAGAATGCAGTACTTAAAAATCAAATTAAATAAAAAAAGGATTTAATTAAAAAAAATCGAACTCGGATCCTTCGAATAGCGAGCTAAATGATATACAAATGCTCTCTCTCAAAATAGCTTTTCAATACGAGTGGTGTATGAGAGAGTTTTTTTTCTAAGTCTTTTGTGCTAGAATAACAAAAGTCTTTGGAACTATCTTGCCATCTGTCTTTCAATTGTCTTACGAAAATATTTTAATATCTTAGCCAGAATTACCCTGTAAGATTTACATTCGAACAAGGACTGTCACTTCAGCAGAAGTTTTTGGAAAACTTTTTGTGCTTTAACAAAACAGATAATCTTAAAATTGTATACATATTTAGTTTGTGTTTTCGTATGATATGGCACCATTTAAGTACATACGTGTTATATTATACAGTTTTACTTTAAAATCAATCAATAAATTTTTGTAATATAAACCATAATTAAAAAAAAAATGGTACAAATGCATTTAATACTCTTCGGACTACTCGAATAGCATTGGTAACGAATATCATATAACGTACATATGCAATTTAATGGCAAATTGTGTCATTGTTTTTAGAGCAACACACAAATAATTTGTTTTTGACGCCAATGCAAACGATGCAACATTATGCACAACAACAACAAAAAAAAAAAGATAAAATCAAAACGAGGTTTTAAAAAACTGGAAAAAATTACTTTTAAAATGAATTTAGCGCCATAACCAAACAATTAAACAATAAGATTAAATAATAAAGCTATGTTAATGTATATGGATATATGTACAACAAAATGTACGCGCGGTACGGAAGGGTTAAAAGTCATTGTCATACGATAGATAGTACGCGCAATAGTCCTTGGATATACATAGCACAGATATGTAGTATTTGGTTCTTTAGACACAATAATATGGTGGGACTTCAAGAATTATATTACCCGCTGCATGGCGGAAATTGGGAATCTCAACACCAGGTTCACGCTCTATTGTAATGGTACGCGATTTACCACCCAACCGGCAGGCGATTGTGGCAGAGACGTCCACGCGCAGTTCTCGCTGACAAATGCTAAATCATGAAAAACATATATTAGTTTCAAAGGTTATGTACATAAATTTAGCCTTGAAACATACTCAAAATACTTTTTACAGATTACGCCCACAAGTTCGCCGACACGGTCCTCTTTTAGTTGATAATTTTCTCCTTGTAGTGCGAATACCAAGTCGTTGTTTGCAGGCGAATGAAATACTATAAGTTGGTCCCGGCCAGGACTTATGCTGATCGATGTTAACTAAACGGGACGAAATCAAATTCAATTATTCATATTTAACAACTAGGAAAGTAATGAAATGTATGGATGTTCGTCACAACGATGTACCGCCGTGGAATATCTGGCATCAACAGATAAGTGGTTTGGGCCAGGATAGATTGGGTTATTTAAAAGGGCAACGTCCCAAAACATTGATGTCGATTGTGCAGCAGTTGGAACTTAAATGCACATATCGTTAGTATAGTAAGGAAGGGGGCGTACTCACATCGTCAGTGAAATACAAAAAGCCGCCACTAACTAAAAATCCAAAATTCACTTAGTGTGTGGGTTTTTTGCATTTTAGCGACGATGTGAGTTGAGTCCTTTCCATACATTCTAATGGCGTTTTCTTTCTACCGAACAATGTTGCCTTCTCAGTGCCCTCTATGCACAAATGATAAGAAGAGGGCAATGAAAAGGCAACACTTAACATTGTTAATACCATTAGACAATGTGATTCTGATAATTCAATACAAGAGCTTTCCTAACTTTGCATATTGACTTTGCTATTTATAACGCCTATCTTACGCTTATGCTATTTTCAATACTAGGTGCATTCTTTTGCAACCGATTTACAAAAGAACACTCGCTTAAATGACGAAATACACGCAAAACAACAACACAAACTCGGCTATTTATCCGAGCTCAGCGAGGCCGGTTAAAAAATACGGGAAATTTTTGCTTCCTTATATACGTGACATATATTTTAAAAGAGTATATATATTACGCGAATACCTCGCATAATTACTCATTTAAATTGGTTTTTGTATCTAAATCACGTTAAACTAATCACATGTTTCTTGCCAGCTACCAACAGGGTTGCTTAGGAACCTAGAAGGAAATTTAGCAGCACATGTACACGACTGAAGATCTATTCTGATCTAAATCAACCGATTAACCGTTTTTTAGTTTCATTTAACAATGTGGTTTTGATTTGGCGGCAAGTGCCATTGAATTTGACATAGTGAAAACCAGCCTTAATGAAGATGTCAAAGAGATGGGAGTAGGTATTACTTACATCTTTAATGGATATAGACCGATTCATGTTTTTGAATTTATGTTTGGCTCCATCTAATTTATAAATTGCTGTATCCGTTACAATAAAGGCACGATCAGCAGATTTATTATGTTTATTGTATTTCTTTGCAAAAGAGGAAAAGAGAATTGCATTGTATGCTTCGGTGTTTTTCAAATTCTTTGTATTGATGGTATAAGCCTGATAGCCTGTATTTTCTTGCGAGTTGGCCAAATAATCACCTATCCATTTGCGTTGTTGTCCCCAATGTAGACGCCGGCCTTTAATCGCAGTAGCAGCAATAATTTGCAGACGCAGCTGAGGCCACTCAGATCGTGGAAACTTACGTAGTATCATATAAGCTCGCCAGTTGTTAAAAATTCGTCGCAATTGCGGCTCAGCATTTCGTCCCGCCAATGGTGGTTGTGGCCATTGGATGCTACGACCATAATCTCTTGTATTTTTAGCATTGCGGAAGCGTTGAGCTAAGTCCTGCACGTAAGATCGTAGTTTGTAAACTTTATATGCGCGCATTATGGCGAGCGCCGCTTTCATTTTCTTGTAATTACGGCGTGCAATCCAACCACGAACTTGCTTTTGTAACAAAGTAACTATGTGAGGAATCATTTCATTTCGCTGTTGCTCTAGTGTAAACAATGTTTGCGGTGAACGTATGAACACCTTTGTATGTCCATATTTCACATCGTTGGCGAATCCTTTTTCCTCAATTAAGACTCGCACGCCGTCCCGTTCGCTCCCGGCACGGAAATTTGGCCATGTGTACTGTGAAATCATTTTGTAACGTAATAAGAATTTGTCGTAACGTTGACGATGGACAAATCCAGCTCGGCGGACTCGTACATTTTCAAGCAGCCCAAGATATCGGACCTGATGCTGTACACGCTCGTCATCAAATACAGTAGCACTCTTGATATCGTTCGGCTTAACACACCGGACGTAAAATGGTTCCTTTTTTAAAAGTATGTTCACGAGATCTACCATGGAGCGTTGGAAGAGTGTTCCAGCGGTCAAAGGACGTTTGGTAGTCTTCTTAATATCCTGAGCACCTTCGGGCCACATTTCGCTCAGGTTGGGATTTTTTCGAGTGATGCAAAAGGCGTTTGAAATCTTGATACAATGTGTCCTTATTTTTTTCAATGAATCCGTTGATGTTGTAAATAACGTCTCCAGCGTAGTGAGTAATGCGAAAATCTTCACGATGTTTTAGTTCTTTGTCCATTGGTTTTAATTGGCGGCTGGTGTAATGCGCATGGCCACTAAGATTTTTGTCCATGGCAGCAAGTAGAGTCTCATCGTTTATTTTACCCACTGAGAGACAAGCCTCATCCATAATAGCAATCATACCTCTATGTGGCTGTTCGATGAGATCGCAGATTATCTGAATTAAAGCAAATTAGTAACATTAGCAAAAAACTAATAATTATAATGTTTGTTTGGCCTTATAATTCATTTTCAACAATTTTTAATGTTTTTCCGCAAAAAATTTTCAATAGAAACGACCTCAAGCTCCATTTCAAAAGTGCACTCGCTCAATTTTTATTAAAAAAAAAATAATAATAATGCATTTCAATTCGAATATATTAAAGCAAGAATCTTAGCTATAAAAACCTGCTTTTCCTCCACATCTACATGGCTTATTGTTTCTAGCAGAAAAGGGATGTCGTTGTGAACCAATTGAAAAAATGTTCAACGTTTTTCGAGATAAGAAGCAATGTGCTGCTTGAGAAAAATCGATAAGACCGTTTTTAAGATACGCATATTTTATTATACATGTGAAAGGTATGGGATTTTTCCAAATTTTTGCTAAAACATTAATTCGAATTACAATTTATTGCGGAAAAACATTTAAACGAATCTTTAAAATTACCTTATTATTAAAGTAGTCGATATTGGTCCATTCTATACCTTCACGTTGATACTCTTCCTGCTCTTGCTTTAGTACAAGTTCTGCAAGAATATAAAAGGAGAATCGTGAAAACAGCAAAATTTCAAAAATGGAATCCCCATGCATTTAATTAACAAATCTTACCAATGAACAACTGTTGCAGCTTCTCGTTGCAATAATTTATGCAATATTGCTCGAAACTATTGCTGTCGAAAATTTCAAAGCCGTAAATGTCTAAAACCCCAATCACAGAGTTGAAACGCGCCTGACTCTTAGAACCACGAAACAAAATTGCCCGATTTATACGCGATATGATCCAAGTAAATAGGCGATCGTAAATGGCTTTAGACAACGCATCTTTACCATACTCAGCTTGCGTGGCGTTATGCTCCTTTTGCATAACATTGCCACCAGCAGCAATAATTCGAGTCGTCAACGAATTCGAAAGCTCGTTCTCCGTTACCTGTAGTAATTTGGCTGCATGTTCCAAATGCGCTTTGTTGCTTATAACCAAATCATCTTCGATAGCTATAAATAAGAGATAATTTTTGAAATGAGACTTGTTTCTTTCAATAAGTTTTCACAGCAATTCATACATTGAAATTCAATATTGCCCAAATGTAAAATAGCAGCAACGGTGCGCCAAATAGTGTGGACTTCTTCGGTGGAAAAACCAAGCGTCTTAAAAGCATTATTTGTGATTTTGTAGTCTGATTTTTCGGATAGTATATCCATACTGCCTTGGTTCATATAATGGTATCTACTAGGATCTTTGATTAGATAAAATTGATGTAATTCATGTTCGCTAGCGCCTCGAAGGAGCTGTAACAAAGTATACAACGCATTAGCACTTCATTTGCACAGCGGAAACTAATAGATATGGTAAATGTGCAAAATTTTTTCACTTCTAGTTCGCGTCTAGAGCCTAATAATGCTTCATCTACCTGATAAAAGCTATGAAAATTTCGCTCCCCAGCTTGTTGTTGCACAACTCTTGATTTTTCCAATAAATAGTTGGTGACAATGCCGCCTACAGGGTCTCCTTTATAGTCAAACTCAATATCCATATATTTTCCAAATCTACTTGAATTGTCGTTCCGATTTGTCTTTGCATTTCCAAATGTTTCCAGAATTGAATTGCTTTGTATTAGTACGTTTTTCACCCTAAAAAAACAAAAGTCCTAATGTAGTCTTTATATTCATATTTGCTCGAAATTACAGCAAAAAAATATAATCATTGTATTTATTTACCTTTCAATCTCATTTTGACCGTGTATATTTGTAACGGCTGCAATATATTTCATAATAATTTTTGACGCTTCGGTTTTACCAGCACCGGACTCTCCTGAGATCAGAATGCATGTGTCCTGATGTCGTTGCTTTAATATTTTATATGCTGCATCAGCTATGGCGAAAATGTGCGGTGGATTCTCGAACAACTCACGTCCTTTATATGTTTTTATGGTTTCGGGACCATAAATATTCATTTGACGGTATGGATTCATGGAAACGCATACTTCACCAATATATGTATAAATAGAACCAACTTGAAACCTGCAATGAAAAAAATACCTCTTATTTTTGTAATATACATATTTAACTTTTAAAACTCTTAAAAACCCTAAAAAATATTCCAAATGTTGGAGTTATAAGCCGAATGGCATCTTTTTCGAAAAGCTATATCTATCTATCTAGCTAAGTACATACAGTGCCGGACAAAAGTATTGGCACAGAGAATTTTTCGCAATATCTGAAAAGTTTTTTATTCTAATTTATTTTCGATAATTTATTATAAATATATAGTTCGTCTTACACCAAAAAACATAAAAACAAAATCTCTAAATTTGTGCAAAACTCAGGAAAATTCATTAAATTTGCATACTTATTTGCAACTTTCTATTCAGATTTTTTAGAAAAATTCTAAGTATGCAGTTTTATAGCTCAACTAATTTTAGTATAACAAAGTGCAAGCTTGAAGGTGCTAAAAAATCGCATTGATTTTTGGTAATTTTTTTTCAGTCAGGTTCTTCCGTACAAAGTATGTTCGACAATTATTTTTTGTATGGAGAAAATGAGCAACACCTTCTACTAAAAAAATGTTCAAAAATCAACGCAATTTTTTAGAAACTTGCACTTTGTTATACTAAAATTAGTTGGGCTATAAAACTATATACTTAGAATTTTTCTAAAAAATCGTAATAAAAAGTTGCAAATTAGTATGCAAATTTATTGAATTTTCCTGAGTTTTGCACAAAGTTTAGAGATTTTGTTTTTATGTTTTTTGGTGAAGTATGAACTATCTTTTTATTAAAAAATATTGAAAATAAATTGGATTAAAAAACTTTGCATATATTGCGAACAATTCTCTGTGCCAATAATTTTGTCCGGCACTGTATGTATGTATACAATAGAGTTGCGCACTTTAGTTCTTTTGAGTGAACCGTTCAGTTGTAGTTCGCTCAGCTCAGTGAACTAGTTCTTTAGTTCATTCAGTTCATTTAGTTTGATTGATGAATTATCATACATATTACATACAAAACTAAAACTTTGGTAATTTGAATTCCCAGAATACTTTTACAAACGTAAAAAACGCACATAAATATGTTTAGGAACATAAATCACATAAAAATTTTGCAGTCTTTTTCAATCGACGGCATACATTTGCAGTAATGGTAATCTTATTAGAATTATTGTTATTACACAAAAATATTTAGTTACATACGTAGCATATTTAATTTTAACATCGTATCAATCATTTACAGAGATTTCGTATACATAAACACAAATAAAAGAGTATGGCCCGTAGTCATAAAGAAGTTAGAAAAAGGTTTTAACGATTGAAATTGTGTTTTATAGTAATCACTAGGGCCCGGATTTTTATGCGCTAAAAAATCGAAATTATTATTATTATTATTATTATTATTGTAATGTACCCCAAAAAACCAAAAATATGCACTAAAAACTGAAAAATATGCACTAAAAAAATATGCTAAAAGACTTCTCGCTTTTTTAATTTTTTTTTTATTTACTTTTCATATTTAATACAAGTTTATAATTAACAAAATAATATATTGTAATTTTTAGTGCCACGAAAAACTCAAAATTAATTAAATATAAGTACATATGTTTAAAATTTTAAAATATGTATGTATAAAAAATTAAGCACTTGAAGTAAAAAGTAAAAATTTCATTTACAATAAATTTAAAATACATATTTAATTTCCATATTTTTTTTTTTAATTTGCTTTGTTCGGGGCTTTATTGGTAAACAAATAGATAGTTCTTTAAAATTTTAACCGACTTGCAAAAGATGAGGAGGTTATCAGTTCGTCGGAATATTTTTTTTTTTTGTTTTTTTATGTATGTTACCGCATAACTTTGGACCACGTCAACCGATTTCGAAAATTCGGTAGGTAGTGTCTTAGAGGTGGTCCCATACTAATCTGGTTAAGACCCGATCAGAAACTTGTACTTTGTTCTACTGGAATTCAATAGGCTACAAAACTGCATACTCAGAATGTTTCTAGGAAATCTAATTAAAAAAGTCAGAATTTTTTACGAACGTTTGCTGATTTTTTTTTTAAATTGCGCAACTTGGATTTACACTGGTTTTGCTAAAGAATGAACTATATTTTTATAAACAAATAACCAAAACTAAATGTATCGGAACTATTTCTCGCATGTTTGTTTGCCAAAAATTGTTCAACGGCTCAGCGCCAGTGAGTCATTCGCAATCATATGCAGCGAATGCCGATTTATACTAAAGCCAGCCTTTCGACATAAGCTACTTTTCCATACGAACACATACATACATATGTAGTATATAATATTGTTTCCTGGTGACAAGATGAACGTTTCTCTCGCATCGTTCACTTCAACAGTTTGCAACACCGTTTGTAATGAACTGTGAAGTTCCCAGCTATCACAGAGTTCGTTTTCCTTCCACCATTGCACACGTCTTTAGAGCGATGATGTACATACATACATTAGGGTGGTTCTTAAATGTATGAAGCATATTTTTACATCAGATTTCCTAAACCTCAACCGTTACGTCGATGCTGCTATAGTCGACTAGTACTAAATATTTTAAATGGAAACTGCTGGAAACACATCATTTACGTTATATCCATCGATTTAGTGCCAAATTTTTCCCTCTTTGTTATAAATACTTTTGAAACCGTACGATTTGCAGAACATGTCGCTTAATTTTAATTTTTTGAGTCTCCATAGAGTAATCTGAACTTTGACCCCTTTGTTACACGCCTTAACCGTCTCCAATCGGGACCAAAATGTATATGTGATGTCTTCGACTATAGTAGTATCGATTTCGGGTATTAAATGAAAAAAAAAAAATAAAAATTTTTTCTCCCGCCCCAATGGAGGAATCTGACATTCCCCCCCCCCCCGTCCGACATGCCTTAGTCGAGCCAAACCGGGACCCAAATTTATTTGTGATATGTTCCACTATGGTGGTATCGTTTTTGGGTATGAGTTGGCAAAAAAAAATAATTTTAATTTTTGAGTCTCCATAGAGGAATCTGAACTTTGCCCCCTGTGCGACACGCCTTAACACCGTCTCCAATCGGGACCAAAATTTACATGAGATATGTTTGACTGGTTTTACCGATCGAGGGGTTGAGGCTGAAAAAAAAGTTAATTTGCTTTTTAACGACCACCCTAACATACATACTACGTACATATATTTTCAAGTATGTGTGATGTCATCCATCGCAAGTGCGCATACCTGACTCATATTGTTGTTGACTAATCATTTGAAATATGTGTCTAGGTTTGTATGAAGATGTTATAATCTTTGCTCAAACCGTTCCGATTTGAAAAGGGAGTGAGTGGGGTTGGTTCGAACCAAGGCATATTAAACAGGTAGTAGCAGTAGAGCAGCTGGTTTGATTGTTTTTTTTTT